TTTTCCATCATCATCAAATCTAAAGTTTAACTTTAGAACCAATGTATCAGGCTAACACTGCAGGGGGCCACAGCAGGAGGAGGTCGGGGGGGCAGTGGGAGTGAGTTCCAAACACAGGCTGACAAGTGTGCAGTGTATTATTATCAAGCACCGGCCATTAGACACAATCTTAGTGTTGGTCATTATATGGGTAAATTTAAGAAAGGAAGAAATCCCATTTAGTAAAAAAAAGTGAAAAAAAAAGAGTGCCTTAAAGTGAGAGAGAGAGCGTCGCTGAAGCAAAAGTCTTAGGCAGCTGCTCCACGTCATCCATTGTTTTGCAGCTTCTCTCACTGAAAGCAGATCAACAAGATTGAACTGCTAAAAGGATCAGGCTGTTCGTTTTCATTGTAAGAAAACATCTGGGTTGCGGCCCGCCAGTAGTACCAGGTGGCTGGACCTGCTGAGCGAGAACTTGAGGATAAACCTGAAGTTCTCAACCTCTGCTCTACAAACAAGGCCAGGGAACCAAGCACAGGTCCAACACTGCTGAGCAGGACTGGACCCATTAGAACCTGTTTGTTATAGCTGCAGAGGTTTAGCTTCAACTCAGTAGAACGTCAGTGTCGCTGTGCTGTGTGTTCTCTAATCCATGGACGTAAAAACGTACTTTTTTTTCTTAACCCGGTTTCATGTCTCCACTGTCTTTGACCTCTCTGATCCACAGGTCCAACAGAAACCTGCTGAGACCAGTTAGTGTGGACTGTCTGATGAGAGTCTTCATCAACATCTGTACAGAGCGACACAGTGGTGCAGTGGGTCTGCAGCCTCACAGTTAATGGAGAAACACAACTGTTTCAGTCACTAACATTTCGTTTCCCTCAGGTTTTTTAAAAAAAAGTTAATAATTAAGTTGACCCGAGTTTTGACAGGAACGACTTCATCATTCTAAAATATTTAAACATCGTCGCCTGGACTGAGATGTTGAAGTATGTTTGAGGCCAGTCTGGTCCTCCTCTGATGTCACTCTTTAATCACACACATAATCTTTGTTTTGTAGCAGATGGCGTTGATTACTGACCATGTCGGTTGATGCTGCATATAAAACCCACACACATAATGTTAGGACTTAAAAAAAAAATCAAATATATTTAACAACAATTACATTAAATGTGAAGCCTCTCTCTGAACAAACCATCAAACATTCACCTGTGAAAATAACTCCCAGTGTTTCTTAATACAACTTTGTGCTCGTCAGCGTCACACAGTGGTGACCAGTGGCCCACGCTGGGTCACAGTTACTGGGCTTTAATCAGATCATACTGGTGTCGTACCAGCAGTATTCCCATCATGCTGATGCAGCTGGACCATGTGCACAGGCAGCACAGAGGACCGAGCCCAGGCCCCGATCTGGATCCATCCATCGGCCCGTAGCTCCGCCCACATGTTGCCCCCCAAAAATAGATGGATTTGCACTGGGAGGAGTTGACAGCTACTCTATTTAAAACCACACAGTGTCAGAGTCAGTGTAATGTGAGATGGTGGGGGCAGCAGAGTCTCCAACGACCCCCCCCCCCACACCCGTCAGTTCTTACCCACACACATTTGAAGAAAAATGGACAAAAAAAAAATAATTTGAATTTGAACTTTGACCTCATCCAGTTTGTTCTGGAACGTTGATAATAAGTCTGACATCTTGAACTGAGGTTTCTACAGAAGCCTGGAGGGACAAACAGGTGACTGTGGTGGTTTTTCTGCTCATAGAATTTACTTCAAAAAAAATTAACACAAGTTAGAGTCAACAACATTCCCTGACAGACTTTGTAAAGGGGGGGTTGGGGGGGGTGAGGGGGGGCTGAGGAGTCAGTTTGTAACAGACTACAGCCGACCCTTAGAGTCTTCGTATTCAGACAGATCATCACACCTGCTCATTCACTCCATGTTCCAAAAACATTTCAGTGACATCACCTGTTTGTATTTCAGGAAAATGGTGGAAATTAAAAAAAAAAAAAAATTACAGAATTTGTTTCATAAAAACATCAGCTCTTCTACCTCGGAACAGAAGCTAGAACTCAATTCTTTCATCTTTTATCACCTGATCCTTTTGAAGCAGGGG